ATATTTGATCATTGTAAACATAACAAAATATCAATATACACAACAATCTTGTAATACATCAATCAATAATATACATCTCAATTTATTTTACATGGTATCAGAGCGAGGTTAAGAACCTGGTCATTCTGCTTCACCGGCGGGCGGCAGCCTCGCCTTGGCCGCCCGCCGGACCTCTACACATTCCCTAGCTTCCTCTATCTCAGTCACTGTCCTAGACGCCCTGAAAGATCAATCCTCTGAATCCCCTTCCCGGATGATGCTTCTTGCACAAAATCCCAACCACCTCCTCATTCACCTCCCTTGCACTTGGTTTGGTGTCTCATACACCACTGATCACAACCACAGAGTCAATTCAATTCCATCAACCATGCCTTCTTCTTCACTTTCACCATCCTCATCTCAGACCCCCCAATACCTCCAAGAGCTTCTCGAATCAGCTCGTCCCTTCCTCCGCGGCGAGCTCGAATCCATCGACACCAACCTCCCCTCCCTCCTCGCCGTCCTCCGCTCCGTCGGTGCCGGCGAGTGCTGGCACAAGCACGGCAGCTTCCTCAACCGCCTCATGGTGCCCTTCGGAGGCAGCACAATAAAGCAGAGTCCAACGATTATAGGCCACAGCATCAGGATTACCCCCCATGGAAACAAGAAATCGAAGAACCTCAACATGCCCATGAATTGCCGCAACGTGAAGAGCAGTTCGCCCCTGCGAATCAATTGAATTCACATCGATATGTCCAAAACCCAGAAACAATAACTTCATTAAATCTACTCGATTGATCGCTGAAGCATCGTGTAAAAACCGATCAATCGAATGGTCAATTACAAACCCAGATTCAATCAGAACCAGAACCTGAACCGAATCAATAATATCAACCCTCAGATTTGTTAGCGGCTTTGGTCGTTCCACCATTGGAACCTGCGCTCTCGTTTTATCCACGGAGCTCGTCGGGAAACGCTTAGATGCTCAAAGCTGCACCAGCTCTCTCTCTCTCTCTCTCTCTAACAGAGCTCTCTCTCTCTCTCTCTAAACAGAGCTCTTCTCGGCAGTTTTGACAAAAACAAAAACAAAAAACAAAAAAAGGCACACTGAAACACCACACACACAGCACATGCATACACAAGCACACACACGGCACACACCACACAACCAGCACATGGGGGCACCCACTCAATCTCTTTCTCTCTCATATTTTATTAATCTGCCTTCCTCTCTCTGTTTCTGATGTAGACCCTTGGAGCTCGATTATCTCTCACATTTAGTAGGGCACACACACTCAATTCACTTTTCTTTGTTTAATCACACCCATCCACCGCCCATTTTATTTTTTAATCAAACTTTATTTTTTATTCTAAACCTTCATTGATGCTCTCAGACATCATTCTCTCACATTTAGTAGGGCACACACACCCAATTCACTTTTCTTTGTTTAATCACACCCATCCACCGCCCATTTTATTTTTTAATCAAACTTTATTTTTTATTCTAAACCTTCATTGATGCTCTCAGACATCATGTTGTTCCTACATCGGTCTGACATGACCCCATAAACTGTCTTCTACATCGGTCTGACATGACCCCATAAACTGTCTTCTACATCGGTCTGACATGACCCCATAAACTGTCTTCTACATCGGTCTGACATGACCCCATAAACTGTCTTCTACATCGGTCTGACATGACCCCATAAACTGTCTTCTACATCGGTCTGACATGACCCCATAAACTGTCTTCTACATCGGTCTGACATGACCCCATAAACTGTCTTCTACATCGGTCTGACATGACCCCATAAACTGTCTTCTACATCGGTCTGACATGACCCCATAAACTGTCTTCTACATCGGTCTGACATGACCCCATAAACTGTCTTCTACATCGGTCTGACATGACCCCATAAACTGTCTTCTACATCGGTCTGACATGACCCCATAAACTGTCTTCTACATCGGTCTGACATGACCCCATAAACTGTCTTCTACATCGGTCTGACATGACCCCATAAACTGTCTTCTACATCGGTCTGACATGACCCCATAAACTGTCTTCTACATCGGTCTGACATGACCCCATAAACTGTCTTCTACATCGGTCTGACATGACCCCATAAACTGTCTTCTACATCGGTCTGACATGACCCCATAAACTGTCTTCTACATCGGTCTGACATGACCCCATAAACTGTCTTCTACATCGGTCTGACATGACCCCATAAACTGTCTTCTACATCGGTCTGACATGACCCCATAAACTGTCTTCTACATCGGTCTGACATGACCCCATAAACTGTCTTCTACATCGGTCTGACATGACCCCATAAACTGTCTTCTACATCGGTCTGACATGACCCCATAAACTGTCTTCTACATCGGTCTGACATGACCCCATAAACTGTCTTCTACATCGGTCTGACATGACCCCATAAACTGTCTTCTACATCGGTCTGACATGACCCCATAAACTGTCTTCTACATCGGTCTGACATGACCCCATAAACTGTCTTCTACATCGGTCTGACATGACCCCATAAACTGTCTTCTACATCGGTCTGACATGACCCCATAAACTGTCTTCTACATCGGTCTGACATGACCCCATAAACTGTCTTCTACATCGGTCTGACATGACCCCATAAACTGTCTTCTACATCGGTCTGACATGACCCCATAAACTGTCTTCTACATCGGTCTGACATGACCCCATAAACTGTCCCGACATTGATTCCGGTCAGCTTCTACAACGGTCGACATGACCCCGTAAACTGTTCTTCTACAACGGTCCGACATGACCCCATAAACTGTCTGCTACATCGGTCTGACACGACCATACCGTGTCTCCTATCCTGTTTTATTTTATTTATCAGTTTATTTTTCTGTTTTGTAACTCTCTCCAAACTCAAGTTGGTTTGTGTCTAACCTCCTTGAGTTTGAGGGGGGCTGTTAAACCCACTAAACCTAACCCACTACTACCTACCACACACACTCACCTCCTCACCTAACCTACCACTACCACCTCCACTTCATCCCCTACCACTTCACCTACTACCTTCTTCTCTTCTATATATTTGATCATTGTAAACATAACAAAATATCAATATACACAACAATCTTGTAATACATCAATCAATAATATACATCTCAATTTATTTTACAGGGGATTTTAATGAAGTTCTATTTTCTCATGAAAAGTTGGGGATGCACACTAGAAACAGAGCTCAGATTGATATGTTTTAGTTGACGATTGACAATTGTTCGTTGGTAGATTTGGATTTTTCTGGGCCCAAGTTTACTTGGTGCAACAATCGACATTTGGGGTTAATTAAGGAGCGTCTTGATCGGGCTTTTGCCAATGGTGAATGGGCGCAGTCTTTTCCAAATGCAAAGGTTTATACGCTTCCTTGCACACTTTCATATCACTTGCCAATTCTAGTGGATATTAAGGGGGTGAAGGCTCGCGATTTGATTCGAAGACAGAGACACAGAATCTATCGATTCGAAGCTATGTGGTAACGCAATGAGGGTTGCGAAATGGTTGTGCAAGCGAGTTGGGAGAATAATGTGAATTTCTCACTGGAGGGGCTTGTTCGGAATGTGAAAAATGTTAGTGATCGACTTCTGCAATGGAATAAGGAGACTTTCGGCTATGTGCAACGTACAATAAAACACAAATTGGATGTGATTCATACTCTTTATAGCTCGACTGTTGTGTCGGTTACTGATTTGGCAAGGAAGGAACAAATTCAAAGAGATGTGGATGATTTGTTAGAAAAGGAAGAAACGATGTGGTTTTAGCGATCTAGAACAAATTGGTTAAAAGACGGTGATCGCAATACGCCATTCTTTCACTCAAAGGCATCTCAAAGGCATAAGAAAAAAAAGATTGCGGGTTCGAAAGATGTGAATGGACAATGGTGTACTGAACCCACAGATTTAGATCATATAGTAGTGGAGTTTTTTCAAAATTTGTTCTCAACGAGCAGCCCACCAGGTATTGCTACGGTCTTGGCTTCCATTAGGCCTTGTGTTTCACCAGATATGAATCATGGGTTGTCTAAGGGCTTTACTGTTAAGGAGGTGCACCATGCCTTATTTCAAATGCATCCTACAAAGGCCGCAGGTCCTGATGGGAAACTCGCTTTGTTCTTCCAGCGTTTTTGGCCAATTGTGGGTTAAAAAGTGACTGATGCAGTTTTTGGTATTCTCAACAGAGCGCAAGATGTTTCGCTAGTAAATGAGACTTATATTGTCCTGATTCCGAAGGTTAAAAGACCTCGATGTATGGCTGACTTTCATCCGATAAGTTTATGTAATGTTATTTGCAAAATTGTTAGTAAGGTTCTTGCTAATCGGTTGAAGGTTGTCTTACCTGCGGTGGTGTTGCTTAATCAAAGTGCTTTTATTTCAGGGAGATTAATTAGCGACAATGTTTTGACTGCATTTAAGCTATTCCATTATATGAAAAATAAACGCTAGGGGAAGGGACATTTTGCACTCAAGTTGGACATGAGCAAAGCATACGACCGTGTGGAATGGGAGTTTTTGCATGGTGTGATGCATCGTATGGGTTTTCATCATGATTTTATATATCTCATTATGCATTGCATTACAATAGTATCATTTTCAATCCTTCTCAATGGGAAACCGACTACATCTTTTCGAGCTTCAAGGGGTCTTCCGCAAGGTGATCCACTCTCACCGTATCTCTTTGTCTTGTGTGCGAAAGGGCTATCCTCTTTGATACCAGAGCTGGAAGCGTCAATTGTTGGCATTCACACGTTTTTGTCGAGAAAGTCCAACAATATCTCATTTGTTTTTCGTTGACGATGGCCTATTCTTTGGAACCGCATCTATTCCAGAAGCCAGGGTGGTAGTGGATATCCTACAGAAATACGAGATGGCTTCAAGCCAAAAAAATCAATTTGGACAAATCGTCGATCTATTTTGGTAAAAGTGTGGATGAATCAATACAGGAGGAGCTCTGTGGCGTTTTTGGTGTAGGTACTATGGTGCAATCGGGTAAGTATTTAGGAATGCCATATCTGGTGCGTCGGTCAAAAAAAGAGGTGTTTGATTACCTCAAGGATCGGATTTTGAAGCGAGTTAATGGATGGAAAGAAAAGAAATTATTTGCGACTGGCAGAGAAGTTTTGATCAAGGCTGTTGTGCAATCAATTTCGACTTACGTAATGAACTGCTTTCAGTTACCGAATAGTTTGTGTTTGGAAATTGATGCCATTGTTAGTAGATATTGGTGGGGTCAAAGGGAGGATACACGAAAGATTTATTGGAAAAAATGGGACTTTTTGTGTTCACAGAAGAGGGTGGGAGGTTTGGGTTTCAGGTGCTTAAAGGATTTTAATATTGCAATGCTTGCTAAGCAAGGATGGCAACTTCTAAAGTATCCGAATACTCTATTGGGTCAACTATTGAAAGCAAAGTATTTCCCACATACTTCTTTTCTGGAGGCAAACGCTAGTACAAACTCGTTTTATACGTAGAGGAGTATCATTCATTCTCAGCCTTTACTGGCCTCAGGGGTTCGTTGGCAGGTGGGATGTGGTGAGTGTATTCGGATTGTTGGTGATAAATGGATTCATAAGCCTACTGCGTTCCAGGTAATTGCTCCACCAATTAATTTGCCGGCTGAATCTAATGTGAGTTTGCTTATTGATCGTGATCGAACATGTTGGAATGAGAACCTTATTCGAAGCAATTTTCTTCCAATGGATGCGGAGGTTATTCAGCAAATTCCATTAAGTCAAGACTTTCCTAGGGACACGTTGGTCTGGCACTATACAAAACATGGGCCTTTTTCTGTTCGTTTTGTCTATTATTTACGCCGAGATATTGTTAATGCAGCCCAATCAACAGAGTCTTCTGTGGGTCGATCATGTTGGGACAAGCTATGTCAGAGAGTTTGGCAGCTTAAACTACCAAATAAAATTAAGGTGTTCGCATAGAAGGCGTTTAATGATATTCTCCCAGTCAAGACATTGTTGCGAAGGCAACGAATTCCTATTGATGACATGTGTTCAAGTTGTGGGATTGATCGGGAATCATTGATGCATTGTCTTTGTTATTGTGATGTTGCGGTGCAGGTGTGGAATTTAAGTCCATTGAGGAATCTGGTACAATGGGCCCATAATCAGGACTTTAAAGAGTGGTTTTGGTAGGTATTGTTCTATGGGGATGAGTCTAACCTCAGTCTGATTGTTGCTCTATGTTGGGGTATTTGGCAACGACGCAACCAAGTAATCTTTTGTGAAACCCATGTTTCGGTTGAGGCAACGGTGGCTATGGTTTGCAATTTGGTAAGTGATTTTGGTCAAGTGCAATAAAGAATTCAGGGTCCATTGCTGCGGGATAGAGTGGTTCGTTGGTACGCTCCAGCAGAAGGTTGGTTCAAGATTAATTTTGATGGGGTTCGGTTCAAAGAATTGCAAACAGTTGGGGTTGGTGTCATTATTCGAAATTTGATAGGTGAAGTTATGGCTGCAATGTCAAAGCAATTACCGTTCTGGATAGATGCCGACTGTGCTGAGGCTTTTGCTGCAGCTAAGGCAATTGAGCTAGTAAAAGATTTGGGATTTTATGATATTATTCTAGAGGGGGATTCTTTAGATATTGTCAAAGCTTTGCGGGAGGATGTCAAGCTCTTATCAGAATATGGTCATCTTGTGTCACAAGTGGCGGCTGCTAGTCAACTGCTTCGGTGCTTTCAAGTTTGCCATGTGGGAAGAATGGGCAATATGTTGGCGCATGGCCTAGCTCGGATGGCTAGAGGTTTGGACCACCAGCTTGTGTGGATGGAGGAGGTCCCGCAGGCTTTGCTTGAAGTGTTGCTGCTAATGCTGTTTGTTAATGTCTTTTGTTTCTGTTTGGTTTCCATCTAAAAAAAAATACACACACACAATAAAAATTAATTTGGTAAATTAAATAAATATATACGTAAAAGATTTATCAATTTTACATAATTTTATCTTTGGTGGGTAGAAAAAAATTTAAAAAATTCAAAAATATTTTTTTGACATTTATTTTTTTCAAATTAATTTATATTTTATCAAATTAACGACTTTATCCTTAAAATTGATCAGTGGTATTTTAAATTGTCCTTATTTAAAACAAAATTCAAAATTTATTGTCAAATATATCACAATTAAAAAGTCAAAAATCAAAATAATATAAACTCTAAACTATAGAGACTATTAATATAATCTGTAAAATACATGCCATACACTTTGTTTTGATGAAATCTAAACACTTTTTCATGTTTCATAACCTTTCTATCTAGGAAAAATATCAAATCAGTTATCATTTTAAAAAGTAATTACAAGACAATGATAAATTATAATTATAATTTCTTTTCTTAATATGTAATTATTTTTTCAAATTTCATTAAATTCTTGTAGTTATCCCTTCTATCTAATTCTCAGAAAGTTTTTGGTTGGTTGAAGAACAACGTCATGTGATACACGCCATACTTCATATACATAATGATTGATAAAAGTGATGAATCTTTCAATTTTATATTAAATAATTAAAATATATAAAAATATATAAAAATTTAAAATTCCCCTAAGACATAACTACGTGTTATCTCAAGTCTAACTAATAGTAATTTTTTTTAATCCCAACCAGCCACGCCATACTTCATATACATAATGATTGATAAAAGTGATGAATCTTTCAATTTTATATTAAATGATTAAAAAATATAAAAATATATAAAAATTTATAATTCCCCTAAGACATAACTACGTGTTATCTCAAGTCTAACTAATAGTAATTTTTTTTAATCCCAACCACCCACGCCCACCAAGTACCATGAGGGTTGTTTTTAAGACATCGTACGACACAGTTCTGATCAGAGGACAATGCACATGCAATACTTCTATGAATCTGACCTGATCTTCGTGTATGTACGCATTGAACAATGCTACATGAGTGGCACATAAATATCCTCACTAGCAAGATTTTTCAATTGGAGATATTATTGGGCTTTTGTAGGCTCATTACAAAATTTATGAGGCTCATTACAAAATTTATGTTGATAATTTGAATAGTCAATTATATAAGATTTGTTGATTATTTTAATTTTTTAAAAATTATATTGATCAGATATCGATAAATATTTGATCGAATCACATCTATATTAACAATTTATTTTAAAGATAATATTTACCGTTGACACAAATGTGATTTGATCAAGTGTCACTTAATATCTTATTAACATAATTTTTTATAAGAATGAAATACTCGACAAATCCTACATATAAAGCAGTTTAAATAATTGATTTGGATTTTGTAATGAGCTCATAGAAGCTCAACAATATCCTTTAATTCAATTTGAACTAAAGAGGAGCCTGCTCGTAAATATATTATGGCTTCGTTTGGGGAGCCAAGTTTGGGGCTTTTTGACTATTTTAGTTACAAAAAATAAAATAGACTTTTTAATCTAATAAGACAAAACATCACATTTAATCCATAATCATTACGTTCTTCTTCTCACAAAAAAGTCAAAAAAATCAAAAGTTCTTCCCAAACGAGACTTTTTAACCCCAGGTTAAAATAGCCAAAAAAATTAAAAAACCAAACAGCCAACCCACTTCCCAAACAAACCCTATATTCTACTAGTATTTTTTTTATATTTACTTTTTAATTAAATATGCACGAATTACACTAATAGTCCCTATAATTTGGGGTTTGTATTACTTTGGTTCTTAACATTTCAATTGTAATACATTTGACCCTGAATCTTGAGATCTTGTTTCCTAAATATGAATAGTTAAAGATGTTTCCTTTGCAAATGGAAAATTCTTTATTTGAAGGGCAAGTCGTCATACAATTTATTTTATGTTGATTAATTTGTATGTTTGAAATGTAATGAATTTTTTTAATGAATAATGCTGGCACTTTCTTAATTATAAAGTTTTGTTTAATTTGATTTTCAGAATCTATTTTCAAAAAAAAAAAAAAATTCTAAGAAATTAAAATTAAATTGGTAAAAAAAAAATTAAAAACACATTGCTTTTATAATTTTATCTTTTGTGAGGATAGAAATAACTTTTTCAAATTAATTTTTTATATTTATTTTTAATAAATTAGTTTTTATTTTTTCAAAAAAATTCTAAAAATGGTCTCCAAAACTCAAGTCAGACATAGTGATAATTTTGATGTCATTATTAATTCAATTCATTAAATCAAAAAATTCAAAACGAAAAATATTTCATATATTAAACATATCTATACATATTAAAAGCCTAATGACCATTCATTACATGATAATAATCTAAAAATATCTGCTAACAACAAAAATAACCATATATTACATGATAACTACTTAAAAATATCAACAAAATCAATTATCTATTACATGACCATCATCCAAACACACACTACAAATTTATTTAGTAAAAAAAATAAAAAAAAATATAAAAGATTTATCATTTTTATATAATTTTATCTTTGGTGGGTAGAAAAAAAAATTTAAAAATTCAAAAATATCTTTTTGACATTTATTTTGGTCAAACTAATTTATATTTTATCAAATTGATAAATTTGCTCTTAAAATTGAACATTTTCTGTTTACAAAAGAAACAGCGTCTTCAAATGTCTTTATTTGAAACAAAATTTAAAATTTAGAGTCAAAATATATCACAATTAAAAGTCAGAGATCAAAGTAATACAAGCTCTATATTACAAGGATCATTATTATAATTTGCCCATTAAATATTTTATGTCTATTTTTCCCCCCACTAATCTAACGTATTCATTTCTAGTCTGTCTTTTTACTAATCACCTTATGAACTGCCAAGAGAATGACTTCTTTAAATTAAATTACGTATGAGATTTAGTTTTAGATAATTAGTTCTTTAATTAGTGATAATTTTATATTTATCTTTAATTAATAAAGAAAAAATTATAAAAATAAAATCTTAGGATTTAATTATTGTGATAAAATAAATCTACGATTTTAAATTTTATTAATTTAAATCTTAATTTTTTAATTTTTCTTTTCAATTTAAAATATCATATTTTCGTTAGATGAAATTGACGAAAAAAATAATATTTTAATCAAGAAAAAAAAAGCACTTAACCCCATGTGGTTTTGGAATGTTGCAGATGACCCCTTTGAAGTGTAGAAATATACAAACACCTTCCCTACAGTTTTGAAATGATCTGCAACTGTTACCTTTTTGTTATCTAAACAAACGCCAACCAAAAAGCCAGAATGACTCTACCCTTTCCCATACAAGACAAATGCTATCAAATGGATGTTATACTCCACCCAAATTGGAGGAAAAAGTATAACCATCCTAGAACAGTTTGTTTGGTTCTTATTTTTAGGATTTACTTTTTAAAAAATTAAAATTTTTTATTTTCTCTATTTTTTTATTTTCACTGAATTTTGTAATATTCTAAGAAGTTTTTTTAATTTTTAGATAGACATAATGTAAATATACTTAAAAGGTATAATATTTGTAAAAAAAATATTTAGACAATTCACTAAATAAGAAAAATACAAAAAAAAAAAACGAGAATTCAATATATTTTTCGTATTCTTATGTATTTATTATTTTTTAAAAATATTTTACTTTTTAGATACATCTAAGTAAGGTGAATCTAAAAAGGCAATAAAAATGCTTAAAATTTTAAAAATATTCACTAAAAATATGAAAAATAAAAACTCAATTTTCAAAAAATTGAAACCAAACACACTTACTACCTCTCCCTTTTACATTTTATTTTTTAATTATATTTTTATCTCATAATTATTTTATTTTTTATTTTGTGTTTAATTAAATATTTATTTGTTTAATTTGTATTACACTCTATATTGTCTTTTTTATTTTTTTTATTTTATTGCCTATTGTTTATTATATTATTTTCTTTAAATTTTATTATACAATTTATTAGGAATATTGAAATGAATTTTGGATGTAAAATTGCAAAGAAACACTTGATTATATTTTATTAAAAGATAAATATTATTCAATTTCCACAACAATCTAAAGTCGTTATATCTGTAACATATTTAATCTTTTAATTATTTGTGTTTCATAATTGTACTTGTTGGTCTTGAACAAATCTGTTAATAAAATTAAATAAAAAAAAAAAAAAACAACGGAAGTTTTGTTTCCCATCTTTTGGTAAAATCTGTTTTTTTTTTCCAAAGTCAATTCGGTAAACGTCTTGTTTGATTCTTTTGATCACAATACAATATAAAACTGTTTGTATTATACAATACAATATAAAACTGTTTGTATAAAGTCAATTCACTTCTTTTGATCACAATATAAAGTCAATTCAATTCTTTTGTTCACAATACAGTATAAAATTGTTTGTATTCTACATGTCGTCTTGTTTGATTCCATTGATTTGCATGAAATATTAATTCAATTCAATTAATTCAGGAAGTTGCAGAATTTGTTGATTCTGTGTAGTTTTATTATTATTATTATTATTATTATTATTATTATTATTATTATTATTATTTTGGACAATTCGAGTTAATATTTGTTTTATTAGTCTTCACATTTTTTTTAGTAAATAAAAAATAATATTTCGTTGTTCTAAAATTAATTCCAAATAATTTTTTTTTACATTAATTTCAAATCATACAAATTAATTTAATTATGTAAGTTTCTTATATAGTTTTTGAATTATTAATTTAAATTTTTATTAAATATGTTACATATTAGTCTTAATTTAAAGGTTTTGTTGATATTTTTTTATAATATTAATTTTATAAAAATTGAATTTATATATTAAAAATTATATGTATTTGATTAAAATAAAATTGAATAAATTTTTTTTTGTTTTTTAATTAAAAAAAGTGAGGTGAGTATATGTATTTGATGTGTTGTGTAGAGAGGGTGGAGAGGAGGAAAGT